AGGAGAGAGACACCGACGCTGGGGGTCACATAAAAATTTCCTCGGTTGAAGAGGGGTCACGAGTGGAAAATGTTTAAGAAAGCCTAGTCTCCCAGTGTCCCAGTACCTATGTGACTTGGCAATTCCACACCTCCCATGGGTCACGATTTCCTTGAGGGCTGTTACACCCATGCATGTCTCTCAAGCCTTTAGTCTAATAAACATTGTTGCAGCTGTTGGATTTCTCACTGGCTTATGCCCACCCCGCAGTTGGACTGTTTGGTCGTCCCAATTGTCTAAAGTCCTGTGTCCCTCAATGGATGATAAAGGAAGATTTTTTACATACCATAACATCACACAGGTCCTACCTCTCTGAGATATTGGCTTTATGTACTACTTGCTCATAAAACTGAGGAATGACAGTTAAGGACAGGGTTAAACAGGGGCTGGCTTTATGTTTTTGTTTGCCAGTGTCCCAACCTCCTAAAGACAACAGTGTAATGCAGCTGTCTGAGAATGATTAAAAGTCCTGTGTCCCTTAATGCAGTGGTCCCCAACCCCTGGGCCGCGGCCCGGTACTGGTCCGTGGATCAAATGGTACCGGGCCGCAGGCAAAGCAGTGCTCCCGACTCTGCTCTGCCCAGCTCCGTGTCACAGACTTTACTGCGGTTCATTGTAAAAACTTTGTACAATGAACTGCAGTAAAGTCTGTGACACGGAGGAGCGACAGGGACAGGGACGCCGACCCCCCACCGGTTGTTACACCACTGGCTGAATGCCCATCGTGGTAGACGGGAACCGGGACACAATTTTTTTTCCAACTGCAGGCTGCATAGTAGTGAATTAGACTTTCCCACACTGTGAGGTACAGTATGTGAGAAATGAGGAAGGACCCAAAAGCAGCAGGAGGGAGTGAGAGTAGCTGATAAGCTGATATGCATGCATAAACATTTTTCCCAAATGTGTAGCAGAGATTGTATTTAGAAAAAAAGAAGAAAATTTAGTTTTAAATATGGTGTCCATTAGTAGAGGAACAAATGTATAGTTCTTATAGTTATTATTATAGTTATCAATGATATACAGTTGTGTGAAAAAGTGTTGGCCCCCTTTCTGAATTTTCATTGTTTTGCACGTTTGTCACACACTAATGTTTCAGATCACCAAACAAATTTAAAATGTTGTCAAAGATAAACACAAGTAAACAAAACATGCAGTTTTTAAAGGAAGGTTTTTATTATTAAGGGTAAACAAAATCCAAACCCACATGGCCCTGTGTGAAAAAGTGTTTGCTCCCTAAACCTAATAACTGGTTGGGCCACCCTTAGCAGCAAGAACTGCAATCAAGCGTTTGTGATAACTTGCAATGAGTCTGTTACAGCGCTGTGCAGGAATTTTGGTCCACTCATCTTTGCAGAATTGTTGTAATTCAGCCACTTTGGAAGGTTTTCGAGCATGGACCGCCTTTTTAAGGTCATGCCGCAGCATCTCAATAGGATTCAGGTCAGAACTTTGACTAGGCCACTCCAACGTCTTCATTTTGTTTTTCTTCAGCCATTCAGTGGTGGACTTGCTGGTGTGTTTTGGATCATTGTCCTGCTGCAGAACCCAAGTTCGCTTCAGCTTGAGGTCACGAACAGATGACTGCACATTATCCTTCAGGATTTTTTGGTAGACAGCAAAATTCATGGTTCCATTTATCACAGCAAGTCTTCCAGGTCCTGAAGCAGCAAAACAGCCCCAGACCATCACACTACCACCACCATATTCTACTGTTGGTATGATGTTCTTTTTCCGAAATGCAGTGTTACTCTTACGCCAGATGTAATGGGACATCTTCCAAAAAGTTTAACTTTTGTCTCGTCAGTCCACAGAGTATTTTCCCAAAAGTCTTGGGGATCATCAAGATGTTTTCTGGCATAACGGAGACAAGCTTTTATGTTCTTTTTACTCAGCAGCGGTTTTCGTCTTGGAACTCTGCCATGCAGGCCATTTTTGCCCAGTCTCTTTCTTATGGTGGAGTCATGAACACTGACCTGAACTGAGGCAAGTTCTGTGGATGTTGTTGTGGGGTCTTTTGTGATCTCTCCGATGAGTCACCGCTGCGCTCTTGGGGTAATTTTGGTTGGCCGCCCACTCCTGGGAAGGTTCATCACTGATCCATGTTTTCGCCATTTGTGGATAATGGCTCTCACAGTGGTTCGCTGGAGTCCCAAAGCTTTAGAAATGGCTTTATAACCTTTTCCAGATCTCAATTCCTTTCTTTCTCATTTGTTCATGGATTTCTTTGGATCTCAGCATGATGTGTAGCTTTTGAGGATCTTTTGGTCTACTTCACTTTGTCAGTCAAGTCTTATTTAAGTGATTTCTTGATTGCAAACAGGTGTGGCAGTAATCAGGCCTGGGTGTGGCTAGAGAAATTGAACTCAGGTGTGAAAAACCAGAGTTAAGTTATGTTTTAACAGGGGGGGGCAAACACTTTTTCACACAGGGCCATGTGGGTTTGGATTTTGTTTTCCCTTATTAATAAAAACCTTCCTTTAAAAACTGCATGTTGTGTTTACTTGTATTATTATCTTTGACTAATACTTACATTTGTTTGATGATCTGAAACATTAAAGTGTAACAAATGTGAAAAACAATGAAAAATCAGGAAGGGGGCCAACACTTTTTCACACAACTGTATACACTTTTTAAAGGGACACCCTAACTGCATTGCTGTGTGCTTGGGATATGGAAACAGCTAATGCATAGCAGTAAATTCTTTCCTCGTCCTCTAAGAACAAAATGTCCAATATATATTTACAGTTAATACATTTTTTAAACATCGTTACCTTTTTAAATCAATTGCCTTTGTTCATTGAAAATACGCATAAAGAAATATTTTTTTTTTTTACATATTACAACATGTAACAGCATTTTGGAAATTTAAACCTAGCAGAAACATAATGATTAATGGTGCAGATTGCTTCTAGTAAGTATTGCTTGACCATTATGCCTCCACTACTGGCAGCTAAAATGACACCTGTGCCCAAACTATAAATATCAAAGTATTAACATATTACTATATAGCAGTAAAAAAGCTTTAAACCATCACTGACGATGTAGCTGCATATACCCTGAAGCAATTCATCCCCAAAGGTCACAAGAGAGATTCTGAAGTCAGGGTTCAGTCATTTTTTTCAGCTTATGCAGCACCTGCTGTTTGTTTCCATTAGAGCAGGGGTAGCAAACCTCCAGCCCTCCAGCTGTGGTGAAACTACAAATCCCATGATGCATCTCTCTTCGGGAGTCATGTCTATGGCTGTGAGAATCTTGCAATGCCTCATGGGATTTGTAGTTCCACCACAGCTGGAGGGCCGGAGGTTTGCTACCCCTGCATTAGAGAGTTGTCAGGCTGCTTCTGCTGCAAAACTTTAAGTATTAATTTATCCACAATTCTTAAAACAGTCAATGAGGGCTTGTTTTAAAGTGATTTTATTGCTTGTTCACAATATGAACACGCACTGTAAACATATAATGGTTCCATGTGTATGTTCTTTCTTTAGTTCCTTTTTGTAAATATGATATATTCCACATTTTGTTGCTCTCTAAAAAAGCCGGCTGTTTACAGAACTCAATATCTCAAACTCAAATTAAAACCCATAATTTAATGATTTATAGGAGTGACTCATCCCTCCTCCCTCTAACTCCCTACCTACTCTTTAGAAAACCTATATTGCTTATACTAATGCAATATGGAGCCCCTGTATTACATATCTATTTATAACACAAAGGTTTCCTACAAATAGGAAGAAATATATAAGGAACAACTGTTTGTTTAAAAACAAAGCTCAATTTATTTATTTTTTGGAAACGTGTGCCTTTAAATTTTTTGGAAATTATGGTTGCTGCCATTGCTGACCACCTTCTAAGAATACTAACTGTCTGGCTATCTTTTGCTTCAATACTGGCTCAGTCACTGATATGGAAGAGACATACAGATTAGACATGTACAGTGTAGTAAAGACTTTAATTCAGGTCAATGGCTCAAAGTATTAAGGCCACTGGAATAGAATGAAAACCTGGGAACTAGCATTTGCAGAAGAAGTGGTCAGTATAGCAGTATCCATATTCTCTGAGTACAGGTTTACTTTAAAGTATACATTTACTCCCCCCATCCCTTAGCACTGATTTTATGCCACGTGATATGTTTGTTTGATCGCCAAGGTTCCTAGTTTTATACTTTTCTTTTCTTTGTAAAAGAGTATTTAATTCTTTTACTTTTTACATGTTTATATCCTAAAACTAAATTATACTAAACTATACCCAAAGGTTGCAGTCCCAATTGAAGAAATGCAACGAATACACCTCCGCTTTATGTTACGACACCGATCATCTCAAGAATGTAAGTAACAATTTATTGTTTACCAATATCACACTGAAGTTATTGAAACCCTTTATACCTGTATTTTCTGTCATTGTAGCCAAAGACAAAGGAGAAAGGAACTTTGCCATGGCATATGTAAAGCTAATGAAAGATGATGGTACAACTCTGCAAGATGGAATCCATGACTTAGTGGTATTAAAGGTACAGTAGTGAGAACAATTTGTGTTTAATATTGGCAAGAGGATGGTGAGATTCATACATTTACATATACCTTTTAAATGTTGTTTGCTTTGCAATAATACTATTTGTCAAAGCAATTTTTTTTTACTTAATTCATATTCATTTACTTTCTGGTTTAAAAAATGTGCAAAATGAATGTCAATTCACTTTTTAGAAAACACCACTGCTGGGTTCCCGTCTAGATCCTAGTTGAGCACTGCTTCTTCCGTGTTCT